TACGATGGGCTGACTCTCCTCTATACAAGCCGGCAAAAAGGCAAAGAGAAAGGCTGAACTGTTGCGAACGGAAGGCAGAGCACATACCCGTCTTGCCAATCGACAAGTATACGTATACGCGCATCTATCAAACTACGTTAATCACGAACACTAGCATGCCGGGAAACGTGCGTGGACAATGAAAACGTTGTACGTTGTTATCGATATGATTTACGACTGGACGAAACGATGTACTTCTGGCATCGAAACACGCGCAACGCGTTCGCTGCCCCCGTGTGTCACGTTAACGGAGAACGTCACAATTTCTCTATCGTTGCATCTTTCCGAGTCCCTACTTATAGTCGTGAATATTTCACGACGACTCCGACGTCGTTTCCCTCTTTCGCGCGTGTTGCAATTTCCCAACCTCCTGTTACAATCCATTTTTGTCATCGGACTTTCTCAGCCTGATTCCTATGCGCCGATGCATCATCGGTTGCCTGCACTTAGGGGCAACACGGTACCCGTGAACTTTACGCTCCCTCTCGCTCCTCTGTCTGTTTCTTCCCCTTCCTAAAAATAATCGCTACTCAGTGTCGGTGGACGATAAGTAATAAGGAAATGCAGGAGGAACGTAGGAGAAGAATAGGCGAGCCAGCTGCTATCGGCCTTAACCATGGTATATCGGTCCTGGTAAGGGACAATAAGCAGCTCAACTTTTGTAACAATGTTTTCTTCTCGAAGGAGGTTGTCCCGAGGCACGATAGTCGATGTAAGTTGCAGAGTTGCCCTCTAATCATAACCGCGAGTCTGACTGCAGTCCGGATGCAAGGAAGCACGTGTTGTGCCGGTTCCGCCAGCAGGTCGGCCAGTCTCGTCCATGGGCATTACGTATTCAGTGGCCAGCGCCATTTTGCCTCGACCATTTTTGCCGATCAAATCTTAATTGTTGGCTGGCGGCTGTCTAAGGAGGCGTGGCCACTGGTTGGTTCAGTTTCTGCCACGCGATGCACGAACGCATCGGTTTTCTTCTTCTTCTTCTTCCTCCTCTTCTTCCTCCTCCTCTTCTTCTTCTTTTCCGTCTTCTTAGTCTTCTTCTTCTTATAGCTGTACAAGGAACACGATACATCGCGACTTTCAAATCGTTTTCGATCCGCTGCTGTTCACTGGTTAAGCCACGGCAACCCGTGCTCCAATCAGGCCGAACCGTTCAAGCTATGCAAAATCGAAGATCGATGCATCATCTGCGTTCCCGCGTAATACCCGCAAAAAATATACTCCGGTGTAGAAGTCGGAAGATTGCAAACTGGTAGGATGGACATCGAAGACGATGAAGATGCATAACAGGGAGGATGTTTGAATTTCACGAGAAGGAAGAAAGTTGGGATGAACATATCAACGGTGTAATTAACCTGAATGGTGAATCTCGGATGACACGTTCCTAAGCAATTTGCACGTCTCTCGGTCGATGGATGTTTAGCGAGCAGGTAAATTGGTGCGAGGACAACGACAGGTGGAGAACATGTTCTCAGACAGCAACACCGGATCTCTGGACTGTAAAGTTCACTATTATACCATTACCTTGCCTATCTTAATTAATTTTAAACAAATTGTCCGTTGAACAGCGACAGTTAAAAGCGTGTTAGGGAACAAATTTCTCTCCCTCTCTCTCTCACTCTCACACACTTTGTGTCTCGTTAATTAATTTTAATCATTGTGCAGAGCCACATATAATAATAGGTACGCACAGTTTACACGCGTATTATAGTAATGAGAGAGTACGTTTATAGTTTGTTTCAATTAACAGTAGACAACCTTGGAAAATGATTATCATCCGATCGAGTAGTGTCGTTTTCGACGAGCGATTCTCACTTTCGATTTCCGAAAGATTTTTCGCTAAACTCACAGCACCTTGTATGCTATCGAATGGTTTCGCAGAGGTAGGTTACCTATGTAAATTCATTACGATAGAATTTCATCGAAGTAAGATAAGGGGATGGCCTAATAATGCGAGCTTGCACGCGTCCAACACGCACCGGCCAATTATCTCGAAATTAATATTGCACCCGGTATAATCAGGTCTGTGCATGGCGTAGTAGTGCGCATTGCTGCTAACCTTCTCGCCATAATGACACGTATTACTCTGATTGGCAACAATTGGTAACAATTGACGGGCGGAACCGAGCCTCGGAGGTTCCGCTACTTTGCCCGCGTTGTTTACGACCAGAACTTCGAAACGTTACACCTTAATTGGCTGGCTACATGCTCGAAGAATTATCAAGGCTCCTTTTCATCCCTACACAATTAGTTATTAGAGATGTACCTGTAGCCTATCTCTCGACACGGTGTTACAATCTGGTTCGTCCTGAATGCATATAATTTCCAAGCTTTCGAAGAATAAAGTAGCGATCATTCCCGTATTAGCACTTCCTTCCTTTGCAGAACCACGAAGGAGCAACGTTGCCTCTCGAACGAGGAAGATCGCCCAACCGAACTGTCTTACCTAGGTGATTTCGAGATAACTCGAAGAACGAGAACTTCCCTCGAGAAATTCGTTCGGCACGACCAACGCTGTCCCGAATATGGATATGCAAAGTGAGAAAGGAAGCGGGCTCTGTTATGATGCTTCTAAACGACGCGACGCAGCAACAGCTGAGAAAAGCGAGAGCGGTCATTCTTTTATAATCTTTCATTTGCCTCGTAAAAAGACGAAACAGCGGATGCTCGGTAGAGGCAGAGCATCGGATTTTACGAGCCCCGTAATGCAGCCAATGGACCGTTGCTCGCGTACTATATCCAACTTGTCGGGAAGTTATTACAACATCGTTACGTTCCAGCAACTCGTCGTTATAACCCTTTCTTCGCATTTACGAAATTAAAGTCGCAACTGGATATCGTGCGATTGAATTCAATTGTGAGATAAATGTTTCGCCGTTCCTCGGAGAAAATGGAATTTCCAGCTAATTGGCGATCTCGCGGCGAATTTTTGAAAGTTGAAACGAAGCGTAAGTAAAGATATCAATTAGCACGGTGGCCGATTAAGTCATCTTTAACGGTGATTGCAGTGTGTGAGCATTATAGCAGAGATACGGAGAAAAATTTTACGCGCCGTCTAATTGGCCCATACTCGATAGTTTCGATGTTATTTCCTCGTAAACACGAGGTCCCGCAAGTTTCTCATTAAACGATCGTTTCTACATTTATTATCGTCCAATGCAAACTCCGTTCTTATTCCTTCTACCCTGTTATTCGACGCTCCATTTACGATCCATCTTCTATTTTTTCCACCGATAAAACCAGTTGGCGTATTCGAAAACACCGCAACCGAACGACTGGCGAAACGTTACGGTGTGCAATCGCCTCTAAGTAAATGACAGCCCGGAAGGTGTGTAACATTTGGACAAAGGCTTAACGCGTTTTCTTTGTTATCCTTTCCAGGGACTGGTCACACCCCCGTTATACGTTATTTGCCTTCCGCGAAGACGCGTAATAAATCGATTACACGTCGATCTTGCAATTAACGAGATCGTTACCTGATCGTAATCTATCGGCGAAGCGTGCACAAATAAATCTTTAGCCAAGGAGAAGCGCGTCGGTGTTTGGACGGAATTAGTAACGTAATCCTTCAATTCCGAGCATATCTAATCTACGAAAATCCCTATAATTCGCCGGGCTTTAATACGCTTTTGATCGAAATTGTCGGGCAAAAAGAAGAGGCGAGTCTCGATGCGCTGGCAAGATGCTCCAGTGCACCAGTGACGTCATCGAGTTTGCGGTCTCGAAATTACAATATCACGAAAACGAGCGAGTCAAGATGGTATGGTCTATGGATCCGAAGGGAGGTAGAGGAAAGGTCCTTTCCGCCAGCCGTGTGCTCGCTGAATAATAGCCTTCTGATTATATGCATTATATGGGCTGAGATTGATACGGTTCGTAATAAAATAATTGAAATAATCACACGCCACAAGGTCGGCGCGACGTTAGAAATCTGTTGACCGAATGAAATGGCCGTTAACGGTGTATGGTGCTTGCAACAAACTAGGTAGGTACTTCGTCCGACGTGATTGAAATTCTACGAACATACTTAACAAATCACATCCGACATTTTTCTCCGATTGAATCGACTCGGGCCGAGTCTCGAATTGAAAGGAATACTTCCAACCTTGCCTTTTCTCTTTTCCCACAAGAATCAAATAAATTTCTCGTTAGGATAGCAAGTCGCGCGTCTTTTCCTGGTGTGGGTCTCACGGCGCCACCGTGGGGCAGACATCAGAGCACACACGATCGTTTTCTTTTCTCCCTTTTTTTCTTCCATTCTGAGGCAATCTTAATATTATCCTTGGAATTACGGCCCTCCGGTGATCCACGACGTGCGTTCCCATCACATACGCACACCATCGAATTAGACTCCAATAATCGCGTGCATATTTCGGAGCAAGTCGTTTCCCTTCGTGCACACGAATTTTGCGTTATATAATAGATTGCGAACGGCGAATTAACTTTATCGTCTACACAGTGCCAGTTGCCTTTAAAGATTTCAATCGTGAGTATTTTTCAAATTTTCAAGGGGCTTGAAATTTGTTTGGGAGCTGCGTGCGTGTTTATGGTTTCCGCGAAAGCGTCGCAATCAGCCCTCTTTGACGGCCCCTTTTTCTCCCACAGATTAAAGGCAGTGCTTCATTTTCTAAAGCTATTCCTAGAATTACGATCAGCTCGTCTGCGAGTAGAGGCTCCTCTTCGAGGAGATGAAACGATCGAAATCAACCGGTGAATCATTTCGCGAAAATTACAAAGCAACCAACACGACAATGTTCGTGAAAATAACTGGAATAATTCTATCCAAGCTGTAGCACCGATTGTGTCGAAAAGTAACGACGTTGTTTCGCTCGAATTTACAGTTTTGCAACTCTTCGAATTTGTTGGTTCGATCGAACAGTCTCTCGGACGATAACGCAGATCCCTGTTTCGCGACTGAAGGCCGGTCGAACTAATGACGTCACTGTGGTGCTGTGTTCCTTTCCTTGCCACACGTTGTGCAGTGATATTTACACGGGGAAAGTAGAAGGAGTATCGAAGGTATTTGAGCGATATTCGGTTAATCTGACATTTGTGGAGTGAGTGAAAAGGGTGAAATTTCGATAGATTTTCGGGTAATCTTCAGAGAAGGCAGGTAAGGTACGTGCATGGAAAAATGATGTAACGTTTGTTGCGCTGATAAGAAGGTACACGTGGGTCTCGCATATTGGCAAACCACTTGCGCGTATTGCCAGAACATTGGAAAACGTACGATTGAAAATCGTTAAAGTTAGCAATCTATAAATAGCTACATAGATTTCTTTGGCAAAGTAAGGTTAAGTTGCAGTGTGCATCTTGCGGCTGGTTCCAGAGCCTAATGTTACGAGGCAGCACCGTGCAGCGCACCCGCGGCTCGAAGCTCCCTCGATCAACTGGGTGCAGCACTAAATCCACGCGGTTCCATTCAAATTCGTGGAATTTCCCATTGGGCAATTGGTAACGAGCCGATCGTTGTCGTTGTCCAGATATCGCGTTCCCTTAATCGAATAGAAAGAAGAGATTGTGAAAGTCGCGGCGCCAAAGCGGCTGTCGAGTAGCGTGGCGGGCCGGATCCCTTCTCCTCCTCTTCCATTATAATAATTCGTAAATTTGCCGGGGACCGGGTGATGAAGAACGAGGAGGACGAGGACGAAGAGGTGGCGCGGTTCGAAGTTAAACCGTTGGGTGGAGGATAGAAGGAACGGAAGGTGGGACGGTTAAGAGAAAGAGTGAAAAGAAAGGGAGGGGGTAGAGGGGGCGAAAGATGAGAGAAAGAGGAAGAAGAATCGCGAAGTCGGTGGCGGATTGGCGGCCTGAGGCGCGGTTGCAGATTCCCGGCGTGATGCCGGTGATTCGCGGCTCTGGTGCCCAGTAATCGTCGGTCCCCTTACCCGACGTATTCCTCCTCCCTCGCATCTTTCCTCGGTGAATCCCTTCTCTCCTCTCCTCTCCTCACGAATTCGCCTCCTCTCGCCTCCCGTAGGCGTCTCGTACCTGTTTCGTCCTTTTGATATGGCGCGGGCCGTTGTACACCGTAGGACGAGGAGGTAGAAGGGGGGCAATCTCGCGGTAAATACAGCAATCGGTTGATGTGCCGTCCGCATTAATATAATTAGTCACCCCGAGCGGTCGAAAGCGACCCGATGCTGGAGAAGCCGACTGGACTCGACTCGACTCGTTGCCTTCATTCTACTTGGAAAGCATCACGAGGCCGGGGGCAGTTTCTCCGCGTATAGGTGGAACATGCTGCTCGACTGTTAAACATCCCGAGAGAGGGTTGAGGGAAGAAGGGCGTGGCCCGTCCACGTTGGATCATTTTCATTTCTATCCGTGCAAACTGATATCCCCCTCCTTCTATATACTCGATCGTCCTCATTTTTGCCTGCTGTACGTTAGTCTGTAGACAAAGACGGATCAGTACCTCTGGGCATCATGAACCGAGAGTAGCGTTCCCGTGAAAACCAGTCGAGAACAATTGTCCACGGCTAGAAACGCGTGTTCCGATATATTTATTTCCATTCGACATTCCTTACAGCTGCTTTCTTAACTCGCCAAAGATCGTACAGTTCGATCGAAACGGTAATAATGGAATTGTACTCTTTCGTAGAATGGCGCCAAAGAAAATCGAGGAACCCGAACGGAAACCGCTTATTGGCCGCGTGGGTACCAACTTGAAAATTGGCATTGTAGGCATACCTAACGTAGGGAAATCAACGTTCTTCAACGTTCTCACCAAAAGTCAGGCGGCTGCCGAGAACTTCCCCTTCTGCACCATCGATCCCAATGAAAATAAGTATCCAACTTTTTATTATACACGCTTCCGTTTACTGTCTAACCTGCCGTTAACTCGCATGTCGTTTGTTTCCAACTTTATTCTAGTAACCTTAAAATGAATATTTCACGTGAAACTTTTCTCATCCCTGACAATACAATACTCGACGATGTGCGACGAAACTTTGCGCCGCGAGAAGGATGAAAGTAAAAACGAGCGCGATCAATTTTACGTAAACACGTCCTGCATTATCAAAAAGAGTTTCTTCAAATTTATCAAAGGACAGCCTCGCGAAGAATTCGTTCCCCCGTGGCCAGAACCTCATCGATGCGTGTATCCAAAAGCTAACGCTTACTACGCTTATCACGAGGATATCGATCCGTTTACTAGATTTCCCTCCAAGTGCGTATCGAGAAAATATGGGAACGTTCAACCGCACTTCGGGTCACCTAAGGAACCTTTCACAGTTCGCGATCCTTATTGCGAAACGGAGGCAAGAAAGAAGTATCTAGGAAGTAGCCCGACGTGCTTCGTTATCCTGGGGAAACCCGATCTAAATACGACGAAACTTGCTACCGTGATCGCAGACACGTGGAACTGCATCTTGATTTCCCCATTGGTGCTTGTAAATCAGGAGATCGAGAGAGCTAGCGAAAGGGGTAAAGTAATGGCGGATATTCTACGAACCGGAGAATGCTTAGGCCCTGAGATTATCGTGAATTTAATAGCAAATCGACTGAACAAAAGGGACGTGTTTCACAGAGGATACGTTGTAGAAGGTCTTCCGTTGATACCGAACGGGATGCTCGATTATTCCTCTTACTCGAATATCTCTCGCGAAGAATCGAACCTACCAAGTATCTCCGAGAACTTTATGAAATTTTTCGACTCGTCGTTTCATAGGATCTGCGGTACAGCAGACGAACCCGAGAGAACCTCGACTTCCTGCGTTCGAGAGTCGAAGAATGCGATATGTAAAATCGCACCTGACCACGAGCGGTTTATCTCTACTCAAATCGAAGATATTTTCACTACGTGGCCCTTGAAGCCGTCGATGATCGTCTACGTGATGTGTCCAGATGCGGACGTTGCGAGAAAGCGTGAACTTTTTCGTGTAGACCCGACAACAGGTCGCACAGTGGACACAAGTCTCGCAGGAATAAGCGCGAATATCGAGACGTTCTTCTCTCACGATAGAGTGGACAATGGTATGAACGTTTCCTACGAATTGTATCAAGAACTAATGAACGAGGAGCGAATCTTAGACGAGTATCAGAGGAAGTACCTGCTGCGGCGGCTCTCTGACGGTAAATTCAACGTAGAAGCGCAGTGCGCGTTGTACAAACGTCTTGCAATGCCTACGATAGAGAAATGGATATTATTACACAACCCAGAAAACGTAATTCGCGTGGACGGCCGTACGCCAGTGTCCCTAATGTTTAAAAGTATCGTTGCACGTTTGCGTACGCTGTCAGTGTCGCGTGTAATCCCTGCGAAGAGATTTATCGATCCCACCGCGATAGAATTCGAAGATAAATCGAACGAAGAGGCGTTTCAGGATTTGTCGAACAGAGAAACTGTTTCGCCCTTATTCCCGTGGAGATTGTCCACTTGGAATTTCCTTTGCCCGGTCGAATTAGCCAGAGGAAGGACAGTAGAAGGGACGGCGAAGTATGCCGTTCAATTTATGAATAAAATCTTCTTTCTTTCGTCGAACGAAGCTGTCGATTTGTTCGTCGAGAATCCGCGAACTTTCCTCTTTCCGTTTTCCCCTCGACCAACCTGTAAAATCGTCGTGTTCGGTCCTAATTACTCCGGCAAGTCGGATCTGTGCAGAAATTTAGCAAGAGCGCTTAGAGGCACGATAATGAACGTAAACGGAACGGAGAATTCTCTCGCAAATGTCGATTCTATTGCTTCCTTTTATTCGTCGACTTACACGGACGTAGAAGAAAGGACAAGTACGATTGTAAATGCTATAGAGAATCTACCGAAGGAGGAGATAGACGTGCAAGTATGGAGAGATGGAGGATACATCGTAGACGGCATGTATCCTAACGTTGATTGTTGGAAAACAATTGTAGAAGACTCGGGTGTTATTTTCGAAGATGCTATCCTTTTATTCGAGGAAGATCCTTACGAATTTCTGTTGTCCAAGTGGCACAGCATTCGCGATATCAAAGAAGAATTTGAAGGAGAATGCGTGGAAGACTTGGAGGATCGAGGAGACGACGAGGAAGGAGAGGCAAAGCAAGGATTGGCAGAATATATCAGACATATACAGAAGTTTGACATGGACTGGAAGGTAATGAGACAAAAGGTGGAGGATAGTTGCAGAAATTTGATTACTTGCGATATTGGGAAAATTAGCGACGTCTCGGGATACATTATCGATCGAATTAAAGCTCGCTACGTGGACAAAGCGAGAATTATGAGCGAAGAGGAAAAGGAAAGGGAGAAAGACCTTGCGGAGTACATTGCTATGAGCGATACGGAAAATATCGAAGAGGAAGAAGGCGAGGGTGATGGAGAAACGACGGACTTGGATTCGAAAGAGGATAATCGTCGCTTTGGAGATACGAGTGTCTATTGTCCAGTGGCGCTACTCAGATATAATACATTCTGGAGAGGCAAAGAAGATTTCGGTGCGATTTTTATGGACAAAATCTATCGTCTCTCTAGTCCCGAGGCTCTCGAAGAATTTCTACGCGATCCACAGAGATTAAATCTTCCGTTTAAGAAACCATTGCTCGCGATCCCACCTGTTCGTGTCAGCATCGTTGGTCCATCGGGAAGTGGAAAGAGCACGTTGGCAGATGCGATATCTCGGGAATACGGTCTCGTTCATATCGATTATTTCAAATATTTCGCTATTTATATGAGATCTCGAGGAATGCCAGAAATTTCTCATAACGATGCTCTTATCACGCCGGAAGCTTTTCTGGACGAGGTGGAACTACCGGAGGATTTGAGTAGCGAGAAATATAATCGCGACACCGCCACAGTCCAAACGTTCGTCAAACTCTATTGGAGAAACGGAGGTGTCCTTCCTGACAAAATCCGTAGAGAATGTTTACTCGAGTTTTTCGAGGGAATGTACAATCTACACGGTATCGTACTCGATCAGTTTCCAAGCTGCCGACAAGATGTAGAAATCGCGCTAAAAAAATGCACCGTACCTGATATAGTAATAGAACTTCGCTGTGACGAGGACACTGCGTTCGAAAGAGTGGTACCTGGACTTCTGTCATCCTGGCAAGCCCAATTGGAAGAGAAGAAACGTAACGAACAATTACGGTACAAGCAGGCACTCGAAGATTACGAGATGAATCGAGAAATTTGGACGATAAAAATGTCGCACAAAAAGTCGAGGTTTCTGCGAGAAAACGGCGAAGAGGACGAGTATCGCGACTATACCGACGACGACGATTCAGAAGAAGCGGAGCTTAAGAAATTGGAGGCACAGGAAATGTGGGACGAAGAAAATGCTGAGCCTGTGTTGTTCACGGATTGGGAAGATTTCGAGACGGCACGGCAAAGAATCGAGCAAGAGTTTCGGAACAGGTACGAGAGTGATTCTCAGAAAATAGACGGCACGCGAAGTGCTCTGGAAAATGAATCGATAACGTACGTCACCGTGGATGCTGCGGGGAATGCAAGAGACGTCGTACTCCGAGTTATGAGAATTCTCGATGCTTACATTCGTCGAGACGTTTCTACTTTGGAGAAAATGTACACCGTTGATCCTGAAACAGCTGATACCCTTCTGGATCGTGGCTACTACTTTCCGAGTTCCTTTGGCCGCTGGTGTCCCGTGCAATTGCACCGAGATAAAATCCCCCTACAAATGTTTCTACCGTTGGAAGCTCGACAGGAGATTTATCCGATCATACATCGACAGTTCGTTTACTTTCTCGGCGGTAAAGACGCTCAATTGGAATTCTTGAAGAATCCATTCAAGTATCTCGAGCAAGATTCCTCTGCACCTGTTGTTCCATTTCGACTTTCCATCGTAGGTCCACCGAAATGCGGAAAAACGACACTCGCGCGTCAATTTGGGAACAAATACGGACTGAAGGTGATAACGCGAGGCGCCGCTCTGCGTCACATCGTGAAGTATTTTCCTTGGACGGAATCGGCTCGATCGGCAGAATCTCGTCTTCGAACGGGACACAGCGCCCCTGCAGAATGCGTGTACCGTGCTGTCGAAATGTACTCTATCGATCCCACTTCGATTTCTCAGGGTTTCGTGCTAGATGGTTTCCCTTTGAATCGCAAAGAATACGAGGAACTGACGTTCCTAGGTCTTCAACCAACGATCACAATTGATCTAAAAGCGAATCTAGCTTTTTGCTTGGACTGTTTGTCGCAGGATTCCGACCAAGCGAGAAATCCGCCCAATTTTTCGAATACTTTCTTCACGCATCGTTACGCCGTTTGGGAAATGGATCAGGAAAGTTTCCGACGTTGGTTAAGAAATTTCACGCAAAATGTTGTCGAATTGGATGCAACTAAGTGCAAATGGTACGCTTGGAGACGAGCTGACGAAGAAGTATGTTCGAGATACAGGATGATCAGACGGTACTTTCGACAAAGTGACTACGATAAAGTTCATAGCTTGAGATATATGAGCGTTTCACCCTACGAATTCAAAAGAAGACAGAGTCGATTCGAATCGTATTGCCCTCTTTGCTTGTACCACGAGAATACCATGAAAGCTTCAGGACCCCCGGCAGAACACGAAGGAACGGTTCAATTCAGGGAACATTTCTACTGGATCTGTCCGAGACACATGAATGATTTCGTTCGAGACCCTGAAAAGCATCTTCCACCGATAAATACCGCCCACCTTCCGCAAGATCGTCCACGTATTTTGACCGAAATAATCAACTTCGAACATCCCTGCTTCACCAAACGTTTACAAGTCCGAGGATTTTGTCTAACGACGTACGTGGATAATCTGCCGCATCGCACACTGGTACCTGGAAAACGAACAATAGGGGTTGTGTATCAAGATCAAATATACCTATTTTGCACGGAAGAGTGCCGCGATGAATTCTTGGCACAGCCTGAGAAATACGCGAGCGTCGATGTGAAATTTTTCCGCACGCTGTCCCCGGTGAACGTAGACAGTTTACCGGACCTTGGTTTCTTAGAGCAAACGGTTGTCGAGTTGATAATCAAGGCTGTAAATCAGGTGAGCGTAATTCGACCAAAAATGCCTGGTTTATCGGCCTCCGTTACCGCCGCAGTTTACATCGGCGTGTTCTTAAAGGTCCGTAATACGCGCTGCGCTTTAAACGAAGCAGAGATCTATAAAACGGTCGGCGAAAGGATTTGCAGTCGTGAAAAAATAATTAAAGTGGCGAGCCGTGCGATAAAGAAAAGGCTGAATCCTTTTGTGCACGTGCCCGTCTATAAAGAACAACCTAATCCTCGGTTCAAGTTGAGCGAACAAATCTCCATGTTATCGCGCATATTTTCACGTCAGTCTACCCCCCTTGCATTTCGTCGAACATCGCCCACTCAAGTCGTTCATTTCAAGTCTAACAGCGTTTTATTTTCCAGCACGTCGCGTACCTGTCCCCGACGAAAGATTCGATTACCTGTGCGAGTATTTCAAGCCGGCTAGGTAAGCATCTCCGTAAATATTGCTCGATCGTAGTGGCAAATATCCGCACTACGTCGCGGTACCGTTGAAAAGAAGCGACGTGCACCCCCGCGATGGGGAACGAGTTGGAATAATCATCGACATCTCCGTACTCCTTCGCTTTTATTTTCGCGTATCGAGGCACAAGCTACGGGAGAAAACGGTACGTGATCTGCATTGCAGATTCCACTAAATTCGTCTACGCGACACACAGTCCACGTTTTCAACTTTGGCCGACTTTGCATATCTCTTTCTTTTACTTGCTCCACAATACATATGCACAGCTCGAAGACGGAATTTGAACCGTTCGTAAGGCCAGAAAACGATCTTTCGTATTTCTAACCGAGATGAAAAGGTTATACGTACTCCGGAGAAAAATTAATTAAGAGTCTGTGTCGCATTTGAAATTGACAATGGCAATGGAAGTTTGATCGGGACACGCGGAGACCGCTATACGTGCTGTGGTACAGAGCAACGTGGGTAACCGTGGATGAAAGCTGTGTTTACCGTAGCACCGCGTCATCACGCTGGCTCGTTGACACGATGAGATTGAGTGTACAAAGCAGCAGAATCGCTGCACACGGTTAAATATTCTTTAACGGTGTTGCAAACTGGTAAACAGTTGACGGAGAGAGCGGAAAAGAATAGGGTGGAATCGATAAACCGTGAGAAAGGGTAAAGAATTAACGAGCAATTATCGAAGGGGATGATGAGACCGATGGAGTTTACTTTACGACACGTGCTTGCTCGCTCGCGATTCGACCAATTCGAAGAGATTAAAACGTGAAACGGTGCTAGATCAAAGGGAATCACCTCTCTTCCATCACGGTCACCCACGATCGAACGCTCTAGCCGATCTGACGGTCTCCGTCACGTGTCAGATGATTCAACGATCCCTGATGAAAGCCACCTAACACGCCGTTCCCCCTTCTTGTTCATTTTACCAACGCCTCTCTTCAAAGGCTAATTGTTTAACGAGGCTACTCGCATTAGCATTTAAATACAGCTCGTTGTCACTGCGACACCCTCGTTTCAATTCTAGACGCGTGCTCGTGACAATGGGTCCCGGTCGGGCTTCTCGCCGCGTTCTTCCAACCGGTCGCAGCGAGAAATATCTTTGCCTGTGCTTTCAGCAAAGTTCCAGCCTTCTTGAATGTCGTGGACATCGCCGGATTGGTTCAAGGCGCCGCCGAGGGACAGGGCCTGGGAAACAGTTTCCTCTCGCACATCAACGCTTGCGACGGAATTTTTCACCTTTGTCGTAAGTTGGAACACGAACAGGCGATAAACGATGACTATCCTGCACGAACGATACCCGATACGATCGATTATGTTAAAGGGAAGATAACGTGCAGTCGATGAGATCGAAAGATTAGTTTGTCACCGTGTTTACTCCTTCCGTGCACCGCACGGGCTCTTCTTCCTGGAAACTGAATCGATTGTAATTTTTTTTTCAAAAACTAAAAGGGGCTAATCTTGTACTTTTCAACGATCCAGGAGCGTTCGACGACGACGACGTTACCCACGTAGAAGGAGACGTAAATCCCGTGAGGGATCTTGAGATTATTAGCGAGGAATTGCGGCTGAAAGATATCGAGTTCTTGAATGGTCATCTGGAGAAGCTGGAAAAACTCGTGGTTCGCGGAAATGACAAGAAACTCAAGCCTGAATATGTAAGCACCGACTTACCTTTCAGCATTCTATTACGCTTGAAGAAGCTCGTCTTCTTTCCTAAAGTGGAAATCGCCGTGAATGCAAGCATACTGCAAAACTAAACGAAATCGCCGAGGAAATTGAGAGAGCGCGGCCGGTACACACTCTATTTCCTAGAACGAATCAATCGAATTACCCTCTTCCCGTGGATTGACCCACGGCAATTTCCGATCTCTCCCTCGTTCTAGACTTTGCAATTTGCTAAAAACTTTTCGAGAGTTCGAAACTACCTCTTCGCCCTCTCTCCTTCTCTCTCTGTTTCTCTCAGCTAAACTAATGGAGCGACGTTTCGCTAGTGTACAGTCCTCTAATCACGGCTCGATCGCGGAATTATCCCACTCAATGGCGCATACTCGTGCGGACGGCTACTAAACGGAACATTGCCTTCTTCGGCACGATAATGAAACACGTTTACGCGGGACTGCTGAACTTTCTGAAAGAAATTAAATTTCTGCTTTTTTCCTGCACAGGATACGTTGTTGAAAGTGAAGGGTGTAATGGTGGACGAGAAGAGGCATATCAGGTTTGCCGACTGGAGTGCCACTGACGTAAGCAACTCTGTCTAACTTGGTTATTTCGCATCTTGTCAATTTTAATACCGTCTTAACGTATTACGATCTCCTTGCAGATCGAAGTTCTCAACAAATATTTATTCCTCACGTCCAAGCCGGTTATTTATTTAATTAATACGTCTAAACAAGATTACATACGTAAGAAGAATAAATGGTAGGTGTATTATCTGGGATCAGGCGACAAGTGTTTTCAGTAGGATAACGATCGATAAACGATCGATATTAAAGTAACTGTACAAAATTCAGGTTGGGCAAAATAAAAGAGTGGGTGGACAAAAACGACCCTGGAGCTATTATAATCCCGTTCAGTGGAGCTTTCGAAAATGTTCTCGTCGACATGGACGCTGCGGAGCGCGCGAAATATCTAGAAGAGAGCAAAGTTGCTAGGTGCGTATGATTGTCTATAATTTACGAACTTGCAAATGACAGCAGCCGCGGAATGTCCCAGGTGAAGATGGTATAGCTT